ATTGAATCCCATTCCATTTCTTTGGCTAAAGTTTCCCTTTAAAGCTGATGGATTTCCTGTTATATTTGGAAGAATATCTTTTTTTTTACTAGATTTTATTTTGATGTAAACATTTAAATGCATTAATAACAGTATAAAAATTCTGTGTCCTCTGCCACCCACCATTAACAATTGCTCATTACATGTGCTTTTTCTTTCCTTCAACAAATAGATTAAAATACACTAGCTAAACATAAAACCTTATTAATTCCAAACCCCTAATCACATTCTTATACCCATGCATCACATACATATCACTACAACCATGAATTTATTTTGTATTTTTCCAATCAATTTCATAATTCTCATGCATGTATGTAAGCATTAAAAATACAGATTCATGCACTGGGACTGTGGCTCAGTGGTAGAGCGCTTGCCTAGCATGTGTGGGGCCCTGGGTTCGATCCTCAGCACCACTTAAAAATAAATAAAATAAAGGTATTGTGTCCAACTGCAAATAAAAAAATAAATATTTTTAAAAATACAGATTTATGTTTGAAGCTATGTTTCTCAATCTATATGTTGTGGAGAGAGCCAGGTATTTTAGCTTTTGGTTTTTGTGTTTTCCACAATATGTTTTAGTCCTTTTTTGCTACTAACACTTATGGCTGATAATTAGCATGACCCACATGAAATTCACTAGTGAGTTCAGTCACATATAGACTAGTCTATACTCTCATAAGAGTGTGAGAGTATATTTTTTTATATGTGACTTCTCATAAGAGAAGTCCTGTGGATTGGGGTTATACCTCAGTGGTAGAGCACTTGCCTCGCACATGTGAGGATTCAGTTCAATCTTCAGCACCATGTATAAATAAATAAAGATATTTTTTAAAAAAAGAGAAGTCCTGTTTGCATACTGGGATAACATGGCAATATTAAGTTCCTATAAAATATCTCAACACTTTCCCAGTTTCTCTTCATGGATCATAGTAAGCAGTTCACAAATTCACATTAATCCTCAGAATGCACTCTGAGTAACAGTGACTAGGAGATGCTATCTTTTATTTTACTTATTAGTTCAAGACCACACATACAATTTGGAAAATTGATATTTTTCAGTTAGTAGCATGGTTTTGACCTAATGCATTCACTTTAATTATCATTATGTCTAATATAATAATATTCAATATTGTTGTACGTTTTGGGTTGTTTCTAGCATTTTGCTTTAACAAGCGCATGATAACTTGTTAAATATCTGAGTGTCTAACACACCAGGCTCTGTGAGAGGTCCTATTTATACAACATCATTTATCTTCTGCTGTTTAAATTCTATTTAAGAGAGAGAAAAAATATACATTTATCTACAAATAAATGAACAATAAAATCTAAGATAGTCATATAGCTATAAATTGTTTTGTGAGTGATGGAGGGTCATAAAGTTTTCTCTTCTGTAATCACCTTAATATTTTCTTTGCACATTTTAGTTGGATTGTTTGTCTTTACCATATTATTCAATAGGATTTGTTTTTTAAATCTATTTAATTAAGGTATATTTACATATAATAAAATTCACCTGTTTTAAATATAAATTTAAGTGAATTTTTATGAATATGCAATTAAAAACACTATAATCAAGGTATAAAATATTTGCCTTATGCAAAAAAAAAAAAGAAAGAAAGAAACTTCTGTATTCGTTGATAGCCAATCACCCCTCAAACTTCTGCCTTCAGTCTCTTGAAACTATTGATCATTTTGTTTGGGTTAATTTCTCTGGTCCCTGATTTTCCAGGGACCTCTTGATTGACAAATGCCCTTAAGACAAGAACTAGATCTATTTCTATGGATTTTCTAAAATTTCTAAACCTAAAATTAGGTTTTGGACCAATACCTAGATTCTTTTACTAACTTTCTACTGTTTGGCTAGTAGGAAGTTAATAATCCTCTTGGATGTCCCCTGTTTTGTGATTCTAGTTCTCACTGTGTTCCAGTAACACTTTTCAATGCTAAGATGGTTGGTAACTCTTCCTTAGCCTTCATCTCCTGCTTGCACAGACCCTCAAAATCAAAGAGAGGTAAGAGGCTAGGAAGTTCTCAATTCTTTTCTGAGCAAACTCACTTTCACATGGATACCTGTATCCTTTTGGAGTTCCAAGAGTATCACAGAACATTTCAAATCCACTATGGAATCTCACTAGCCACTATGGAAATCTCATTCTCTCTTTTTTAACAGTTAAGTAGTTGGTCTATTTCCCCCCCAAAATTATCCAGTGCCTCAGACATGAAGTTACGCAGTTTCTGGTTTTTTTTTTTTTTTTTTACAAACAGCCTCAGAGAGGAGGCTCTTTGCTCTGGTGTGTTTGAATTGAAGTCCAATAAAGACAGCCTTGCAAATGGAGTCTCCCAACTGAACCATCAAACTGGAAAAATAACAACAATGCTCTAACAAAGGGTCATTATTAAAGGTCCAGCCTCCTTCTACCCCTTGCCGTTCGGGTCAGACTGCTAGTTTTCTTTATGATTGCTGACAAGGGGTTTTTAAGACTACAAGATGAGATGATGACAAATGAAAACATCACAGAGCACTCTTCATGTTGATATCCAGACACTTTTCTTGAAAAAGAATTTAATCTAGATTGCTGTATTTTGTTAATTTTCAGAGTTGTGAAAAAAAATTGACTCTAACAGGTTTTTCTGTTTTCTCATCATGTTTATGAAAAAATTTCCCAAGTGCTTCATATTCTGTATTCACAAAACTCCTGCAGGTCAATCAATTTTAAAGTTTCTAACTACCCAGATTTTTCAGGGTAAGAAAATTGACTCATCCTATATATCTTCAGTAATTTATTTGGTAATTGATAAAAGAGGGATTTTTCTCTCTTTTAAATATAAATTATTTTGATGATTAATCGCATTGCTTAAAATCTCTAGTTAATATTTAGCTGTACACCTGGCATGAGCTGAAGAGTTCATAAATATTATGTTTGGAGTTTGACTCCTTTAGAATTAAAAAGTAAGAATTTAAATCTTATTTTAAAATATTAATAGAAATCACATACATAGCGCTTTTTTTAAAAATAAAATCTAATTGATGGAATCCCATGTTCTGATTTCAAGAGGCATTGTTTCAACTAATGAGAGGCATTTAAAGAAAGCCATTTATTGAAACTGTGAATATGGTAAATTCTATACTAACTTACCTCGAAACTACTTTAAGTTAAATAAGTTGTGATTCAGGCAACATTTTTGTTGCAGTAAAAGTTCAAGTGCCTTATTTTCTTTTACCTCCTTGTCCTGTTCTGGCATTTAAAACTATCACATGATGACTTTTCTGGAAAACAAAAATAATTGTTTCAAAGTTTTAAATGTTGTATGCTTCCAGTAAAACCTTTAGGTAATCACAGTGACACTTACAATGCAAACTCCCTTTTCTCTTTTAATGTACTCAGTGTGGTCCAATTCATCAAACAGATTTTCATCAATGTGATGTATTTCAAAAATATATTTTCCATGATATATTTGAATTCAATTTGTGTACCATTCCATGATTGGAAAAAAAGTTACATGTATAGTCATTTTACAGCCTTTTATGTTGCAGATGTCTGGGATACTAAAAATTCTGACATGAAATGTTATTTTTTGCTTTGTTAAAAAGATAGAAAGTTCAGGTTACCTGAAAGAATAAGCATTCTATATTCTTTTTTTTAGTTGTAGATGAACATAATATATTTATTTATATTTGGTGCTGAGGATTGAACACAGTGCCCACATGTGTGAGGAAAGCTCTCTACCACTGAACTACAACCCCAGCCCCTCCATATTCTTATTCTTAAAGTACTTAATTTTTCCAATGAACTTCTCTCGCTACACAGAAGTAACAAATATGGTAGTCAGTTTTGTATTTAGAAATGTATTGGTAGCAGGGATGTTTTCATAATTTTCAGAGATTATGCATTCTTCATGAACACTTTTGTATTGCTGCTTGCAAATATGCATTTCCAAACTTGAAATATAGGTGTGAACAGTGTGTACCAGTTTAAAGCTTTCACTTCATTTGTGTTTTTTAATTAAGGATTTAGATGTTCCCCCAATTACAAACTGGTTTTAAATATCCGACATAAAATCAGTTTTAATACCTGCTTTGCATTTTCACACATGGTCAGCTGGGACATGTAAACTTTGATTTGTAGAATTTTATGCTGTGTGGAATACTAACTACTTTATGTATTTTAACATAGTTTTCATATTTTCATTTTTGGGGAAAAATCTTTTTTCACTTCTCATAATAGCTGTTATATATGCTAAATCTTTATATACAGAAATATCAGTACTTGAACAAATTCAAAGCACATTGGTTTATTAACCCTTGCTTCCTGCATGGTTCATTAGGTTCAAATTATACCCGATTCACAATTTCAACTATATTTACTTTCCAAATACGTGACTTTCCCATTTTAAAAGCCAAGCTAGACACTTTATTTGTGGAAGTTGTTTGAGCTACTTAGTGTTGATAAACACATCCTGTCAAGTGTTATGGATATAGGATTTCTACCCCCTCCAACAGGGTGAGTGGAATAAGTTGATTTGCTCTAATGGGTAATGTTTAGACTTCTGTAAAATAAGTGTCTGGCACTTGCTATGATTTTTGTTTGATAGGTCCCCAAATCAGAATGTTACATCTGTAATCAACAACCCTTTTAACCTTTCTTGTTCTGAAGAAACCAAAGGGCACTGGTTAGTATGGTGAGATGGGGAGAGTCTTCAATTTTTGAAATTTGGAAAGCAGACAGCTTTACTTTATAAGGTTGGAACAGCAACACCATCCATAAAACATAAGCCAAAAATCTTTAACTGTTAATGATTTCCTATATTATTACTATTTGGTTTTAAAATGATAGATGAATATTTGTTCCAGAGAAGGTGATAAATATCTTTTCCCTCTTCCTTTATTAGAAAATTAGGTAATTAATGGATTCCTTGAACAGGAGCATCACCACTTACTAAACACATGGATAGAATGATCAATAAACAGGTTTTGTAGGATATTTTTTTTTATTCTGCCACATTTATTGATTAAACAGGGAAGGAATTTTATTTAAAGTTTTAACTTCTGTCACTTGTCAGTTATTTTCTACCTCTGGTAAGATCCAGTTTTTAAAATATTGGAGATTTTAAATTTAACATGTCTGCTTTGTAGTTGATTGGTTTTCACTTATACTTCTGAAAAAAACATTGTACAGTACAAAAGTTATTCGTTTGGATTGGATGTATCAATCTACCTACTAGTCTTGACATCTTAGTAAGAGGTAATTGTTTTTTAGTGATGGATAAACTTGTACTGGTGTTTTGGATCTTATGATGCTGAGCATGTTCTGCACTGGTGCTAATGTCTAATATAATTTTATATTTACAAAAAGGCCTGCTACCCAGAGGCAAGTGTTAATTTAGTCCATATGGATTATTGACTCCTTTTGAAATTGCAACATACACACTCTTAAATCAGTGTGTTTAGACTTTAAGGATTCAACTCTTTTCTGAACATGTAAATCTCTTGATTTCCAGCAACATATTATAGAAAACATCTGTTATTCAAAAACACTTCAAGTTCCATTTGCTGTCAGCCATTGTCACTAGAGAACACACAGCAATACCTGGTATGTTGCAAGCTTTCAAGATAGCCTAAACTTGAAAAAGTTGATCCATTAGTTGTGTCTGATGGATGTGAATTTGCCTCCTAGTTCACTTTGTGTCAATAGCTAAAACTGTGAACCTAACTTTCTCTTATTCGTGGGTAATAACTGAAAATAAAGATTTATTTTCATGCTCACTTCTTAAAAAAAAAAGTATTTAATTTTTCCCTTTACCTAGGTGAGTGAGTTTTGCAGAATTGGGAACCTCGATTTTCTATGGCATCCATGCTAGGAATATGGAGGATAGAAAAATATGCTAATGTTATCAAACAATCAAAAACCACAAGAATGCAATTAAGCATGGAGGAGATGCATTTTCATCTGACTTTTAAAACCATATTATTGTGGGATAATTCTGGGAAATTATAGTTTGCTTGCAAACAAGCTGATTTGGCTGTTTCTATAGTTAAAATTCTAAAGATAGATCATGTATAGAGGAACTAAAATGTCAGGAATTGTTCCCCACTGGTTACTTTATCACCACATACCTGTTATGGTTAGAAGGCTAAGACTTGAAATCATTTTTGGAAGGGGTAGGAGCTGAAGGGTGAAAAGCAGTTACAGAATTTAGCCTGAAAAAGCATGTTAATTCCTGCACAGAAATACCTAACAATTCAGAAGCTTGAAGAGCAGCAAAACCTTCACTCTAAGTGGTAGATAAAGCATAGAGACAAAGGGAAAGGCAAGAATCAGGGGAGACATATAAGCAAATAAATTAGTTTAAAATAATCATGATGTTGTTTAATCTATAATATTATTGCTAGGTTGAATGTACTGACAGTTTTTTAATGCTGAAAATTAAAAGAAATGTCCTTATACTGAAGGTGCCTGGGTACTAGAAACACTCATCTTCTCTTAATTTTCTTAATAAACTACAGAATTCTCTTTGGAGGCTATATGGGGTCATGGAGCTGTTTGTCTAATAAATTATAGAGATAACTGATAGCATATTAGAATTAAGGAGTACCTTTCACCTACTGTTCTCATCTTTGGGGCTTTGGCAGAAATTCTAAAACAATTAGAAAAGTTCATTGCTCATCCTGTCAAACATATTTTTTATGCTAACAGTGAACCAACAATTACAATTGTCCAGAAAAAAGAAATATGGCAACTTGAATTAAGTTTCTGATAACATAAGCAGAGAAACTTGAACATAAAGATGTTTACACTCAATTAAATAGGTAATACATTCATGCTGAGGCTAGGGAGAAGTTTAAGTTGAACCCTACATTATGGACATGCCTATGTGCATGGATGTTGATCCTATTTACCTTACAAGAAATGATAGAAAAGGATCAGATTTGATATAATGGGATCGTGATACTACTGATGTCAGACTTCTGGAGTTGGAGACTATTTTAAGACAACTGAGATAAGATATTGAATGTATCAAGAGGTTTAGGAAAGAAAAATAAATCAAAGAACTATCAGTAAATAGGTGCAGTAAATAGTCATAGCAGATGATGGTATTTCCTAAAATGAGAGTGTAAAATAAGACAATTCTGTCTAACTTCATCAATGAGTAAGAAACACTATGTTTTATTTCTTGACATGCATGATGGCTATGTATATGTTCACTTGTTATAATTAGTTAAACTTACAATTTGAAATCTTTCTGTAAGTATAATGTGTGGCAATAAAAGAAGTAAAAAGAAAGCATAAAGAAAAGAATATCTGCAAATGAGACTCAAAGAATTCTAATAATTAATATAATAACAATGTGACCATGTGACCCCAATGAAGATGGGAGATGAACTATCAAAGAGACATAAGGGAAACTAGAATCATGCATTACTCAACAATCCCCCCCAAAAAAGATAATTTCAATAAATATGTAATTATTTCAGGTTGTGCTGAGACACTGAAAATGTTCATTGCATTTACATGGAAGGGGTGGGATCTTCCATGTAACTGGTGACCTTAGTAAGAGTCATGTTGGGATAAGGAATAAAAGAATGAGTTGAGATTTGAGCAAATAAAAATTGGAAATAGCTATAAGGTTTTTTTTTTTCAAGAAAGGCAAGGAAATGAAGAAGTACTGAGGTGATAATTAGGAGAAGATATGGGAGGAAAAACTTTTAAGAGGTAAACTTAAAAGAGGTAAACTTAGAGCTGAGAATATTTAATTGCTGCCAGTAAAACTGATAAATTGTTTTACTCAAGAAAAAGGCATATTACCAACAGGGTACATTTATTTGGAAGACAGAGGAGAACGAAATAACAATTAAAGGAGAAACATTATATAGGAGATGGGAGAAGGGAAAGCTCTCAGTATAAGTAAAGGAAAGAAAAAGAGAATGGTTATATGCTACTGTTAATTTTATGTGTCAACATGACTGAGTTAAAAGGTACCCAGGTATTAAGCTGAAGATTATTTCTGGGTCTATGAGGATATTAACAGAAAAAAATTAACATTTGAATCAATAGGTTGAGTAAAGCAGATTCCACCTCGGCAGTGTGAGTGTGCATTATCCAATCTGTTGAGGGCCTGGGTAAAACAGAAAAGCAAGAGAAATCTTCCTCTTTGCATGGCTTCATGATCAAGGCCCTCAGCCTTCTCTGTCCTCAGACTGGAGCATACATGGTCTGCATTCTCAGGCTTTCAGACTGGCACCAGAGCTACATCATCAACCTTCCGGGAACTCCAGCTTTCAGATGGAAATTGTGGGACATCTCAGCTCCCATAAACACGTGAGCTATCATATATATTAAACAAATGTATCATATATATGATTAAATATATATGTAAATATATACATTCATATATGCACACACGTATGTAGGGTATATAGGTATAGATACAAATATATGTACAAATATATAGCACACACATAGACTCACATATATATAGGGTATACATATATATACATATACATACATACATATGCATATATATATATGTATATATAAACAGATATATATGGATATATAAACAAAAAGAAAACGTATAAATTAAATTTAGGGGAAAAAATAGTATAAGTTCCAAACAGCCAAATTTCTAAAGCTTTTTAGAATATACAGGAGAATATTTTTCATAAATTGAAATAGAAACATATTTCTTTTTTTTTATTTGTTTTAGTAGAAACATATTTCTTAAATGAGACAAAAAAAGAACAAAAGAAAAAGGGGAGTTATTTATCAATTCAAGTCTACTGAATTAAAAAATAAAGTTTGGATAGGGCACCATAAATAAAAATGAAAAATTAAGTTATAAACTGGGAAAAAGCATTTGTCCACAAATTGAAGAATCAGTATTTAGAATACATAAAAATGATATCAAGGCAATAAAATACTAAAGAAATCAGTTTTATTCATTAAGAGAAACTAAATTTATCAATTAATTTTAAGTTAAAAACCAAATTAAAATTTACTTAATAAACTAAAATCATCAATAAATATGTTAAACATAAATCAAACTTAGAAGAAGAAAACAACTATAGAATAATAGTTAGTGTCCACTCATATGACAAAACAATTAAAAATCAGACAAGAAGAGGCTGTTTTACTTCTCTTGTGTTTTACTTCTCTTGTGTAAATTTTATTCTCTTTGGAAAACAATTTGGCATTAGCTTTTTAAAACTGAAAATTCACTTTTCCCATGAACAATCAATTTTCATTCTAGAAATTTTTACATACCTAAGTGCAAGGAACAGGCACAGAGATATTTATACAACAAAACCTGGAGCAGCCTGAATTCTGCCCAAATGGGAAAGAAAAAAATAAATTTTATATACTTACATAAGAGAATATTTTACAATAATCAAACAATAAATAAAAATTGACAATAAGTACAAAAATGAAGTTGCAAAAAGATAAATATAAAATACCATTTATATAAGTTTTTAACAGCAAAATTTTGTGTATGAATACATACCTATGCATGTTTACAGTCTCATATGAGGTGGGTAAATGTTCATATCGATAAATAATTTATGATCCACGGGTTGTACTACTTTCAGAGACAGAGCTAATCTGATCCATCCTTGTTGGCATGATGTAGAACATGTAGTAGGAGTACAATGAATATTTAACTAGTTAACTCATTCATAAAATCCAGGTTCATGACTTTCAACTCCAATTCCCATAGTATTTTCATGATACTAGTTAAGGCTTTTATAAACATGCATTATCCATTGAAAGATGAAAATTAATTCTTCATCAGAGTGGCTGAAAACAAGCACAACTACCAAAACTTTTGCTAGTTTTATCTTCTAAAAAATCTTGGATGACACAGCAGAGCTCCTCTCAAAAGGCCATATATTTTGAGATACTGATCTTCAAAAAAATTGTTTCCATTTACTAAAAGCAAAAAGAATGTTGAAATCCCAGACTGGTTCTATGTGTAATTTCAATATCCCTTCTTTTCTTCATAAAAGTCCTGAAATTGTGTTGTTCTCCAGATGCTAGGCCGAGAAACCTAGTATGACCCACTAATAGTTTACCAAAAATAGCCCAGATTGTCACAAATCCAGAGAAATAGGGTTTACTCTAATATATCACTTCATTCTTAACTGAGATCATGATCATTTTTCAAAGTCTCAATTAGTAGCAATTTTCCAGCTTTTTTTTTAATTCTGCTACATCTTGTGTGACTATATATACAAAATACTTCCATGGGTACACCTAGCAAGAGGCAAACCACAATATACCCTCCGACTCACATTTTAGTTGCTTAAAATCTTTTCTCTCCAGCAGAAAACACACTGACTGATGTGTCCTCCCACACACTCCCCACTCCATCTCCGCCACTTACATCATTCCACATCTGTCCTGGATCTTTGAATTTGCTTGCGTTAATCTAGGCCAGAGACACTGTGGGAACAAGGAACAAGACCTTTACTGCTTTGCATTCAGCTCTCAACTGGAAGAAACTAGAGTATGTTATTGGTGCATTATCCAAAATATCTTTTATCCAAGCAGTAATTCACACATCTGAATCTACACTCACCCATGATAGTGTTTTATATGTGAGCATATCTATTATAGTAGAAAAGAGGTAAAGAACCACCACTGTTAGATAAATTTTATTTGCTTCAGGATCCATTAGTATAGCCCCACCAAGAAGAGTCATCTCAAAAAGAAAAATGTTCCTTTCTCCATCTTAGATAATGCCAAATTATAAGTTTACTCCATAAGTTACCAACAACTCTGTTATCCTCCTAAATTATCTAATTCCCTAATTTTTACAAAAATGAAGTTCATAGCTAATGATATAACAGTGGACACCCTTTCAAGTCATGGTTCAAAATTTATTGTGCCCCGCCAATCTGGAAGGTTATTGTAATACATGCCCACAAGATCACCCTGGCCAGTGGTGATGACATAGAGGCATATAGACATCATCAGGGGTTGATGGGAATCAAGCAAATGTGGCAATCTGGTGCCCACCCTCTACTTTCTTGCTCTGATCCCAGAAGACCAACTGAAGTTAAAAGAGTGGATTACAGAGCTTGTCAAAAATTGAGTGTACCTAGGCAGGTGGCCTGATTTGGGAAAAGTGACTTAAGGAATGTTCAGAAAATTGTTATCAGTGTATTTAATATCATTTCATTTGCATATGCTTATTTCACATGCCAGTCCTCCAGAATTTCCTTTTGATCCCCAAATCTTATTTTCCTGAAATCATTCCTTGGTTAAAGTTGTTGCATCCTGGCACAAAAAAAAAACTTGAGATGTCTGTAGAATGACGGTGGCTGAGGTCTGAGCCAAGGCCTAAATTGCCCACCATATATTAAGTGGTAGTAGATGGGGAAAGTGAATAAAATATCCTTCTGGTGAAGGCCTGGCTCTCCTGACGTAGCTCCCGAAGCCTCCACACCCACAGCATGTTGCACCTCCTTTGTGATCCTTCCTTTCACAGCACGAGGTAGGAGACTCAGTCACCCTCCACTAGGGACTCACCAAATCCCCATCCATCTTTCCATCATCGAATTTGCTGTGATATACTTGTGTGATTGTCTGTTTACCAATGTGTTTGAACAGAGACTGGGTTTGTAAACTTGTGAAAGATTTTGTAGAGAATGCGTGGTCAGTGAGGAGCTTATCAGTTTTTTGTTGCCGTTGCTGTTGTTGTTGTTGTTTGTTTGTTAGGTATACTAGTCACAATCTTTACTTTGTTTACTTAATTTTTTATTGGTGCTGAGGATCAAACACAGCTCCTCACATGCTCCAGGCAAGCACTCTGCCACTGAGCCACAAGCCCAGCCCAGCAGCTTATCAGTTTTAAAGGCAAACCATGGACCTCCATTCCCACAGCAGAAGGAGAGACCTTAGATTAAAGCGGTATCCTAAAGTAACACACACACACAAAATGGTGCTTCTCTTTGATTTTTGGCCTACTTTTTTCAGGTGGTAGCTATTTTCCCATTAGACAGCTGGGATTAACTGCCACCTTGTAAAAAAAAAAAAAAAAAAAAAAAAAAATATATATATATATATATATATATATATATATATATATATATATATATATATATATAAGCTTAGTTTTGAGCCAATTTCAGAGCATATAAAGGACCTCATCTGTTCAGAAAATCTTCTCAAGCCAGAGTCAGTTCTTGAACTGGTCACTTTCAAGAAATAATTTGCCAAATAATGGGCTTGTTAAACAGCAAATGTCAAAAACAGATTTCCAATGTGACTAAGAAGCATTCACGAAGCTAAAGCAAATATTTGAACCCATTGGAATGTTAATCTAATACAAGTACATTTATGCTAGCAAACTAAATCTGGATGCAAAGCATGACATATTTTTAAAATCAGTAATTTCATATAAGTATATTTATACTGGAAAATGCTAAAACTTAGATGGACTGCACTTTTTTAAATGATAAACTATGCATATATTGCCTATATCTACAAAATCTCATCTAATGTAAGTGTATTTTAATTCTTAATGTGATTTCAGGATTAAAGTGTTTTGATCAATAGCTATCAAACAGGGCCCAAATAAATTTGAAAGAATCGGTTTAATTTCCCACTCACGGAGATTTCTAACAGGTATTTGGACCAAACATTCTTAATACTTAAAGGAGACAATTGATTTTTTTTAAAGTAATCCAATTATTAAGTAAAATATATGGATTTAGACTGATATGGGCTAGAATTCTAACTCGTACATTCATACATAGAGTAACTTTAACTTTTCAAAGATGCCATTTTCTTTTCTGTAAAATAGAAGCAAAAACACCTGATTCCCTGTATTGTTTAAGGATCAACTGAGATTCAATTTATAAAACCTTTAATGAAGAGTCTAACCCATCACCTGCACCTGGAGTGCCTCTGGTGCCTTTCTCATTGCTGTGCTTTCCATGAACTCTTCCTGGGAAATGTTCTCAGATGCTTGTACATTCTATGCACTCTAATCCTATAAAAATGTTGTATTTTTTCTCTTTTATTGCACATTTTTCCATTTCACATATTAATAAGTTTCATTCATCTTTTGTCATTATAACTAAAATATCCCACCCCTCTGAAGGTTGCTTCCCCATGATTCTTACTGCCATTCAATAGTAGAACCAGTTTTATTAATCTCCCAAATTTCCTTTTTTAAGAAGCTTCTTGGGGGAAAGGAAGGACAGCAGAATAAAATAGACACTAGTATTGCTGTGTGTATATACGTGACTGTATGACCAATGTGATTCTGCAACCTGTACACTTAGAAAAATAAGAAATTACACCCCATCTGATTCAAATGTATGATATGTCAAGATCATTGTACTGTCATGTGTATCTAATTAAAACAAATTAAAAAAAAAAAAAAACAATACTACTAACTCTTCAAAAAAAAAAGCTTCATGTCCCCAAAATCTTTTAGGATTCCTAAAATAGCTACTTACTAATTATATGCTATTATTTATTAATTTATTCAAAGCCTCTCAGACAAAGAGTGATTGAAGAAGTAAGCAAACTTATTCCAGGATAATTCTGGGTTGTCTTGAACTTAACAGCAACTTCAGTTAGATTTTTTTTTTTTTAGCCAAAAAGAAGACATTATTATTGACTCCATAGTGTCAAATATCACTGGGGAACCTTACCATCAATGCAGTGCCCCATTAAGATCCACTTTGATCTCCATTGATCCTGTCAAATATAATGTTTTGGAAAAGATATTTTGCTCTCTGTTTGGGAAGACTATTGTTATTTTTATTTCATTTGCTAAGAAAAAAAACATTGTTGAAAGCCTGAAAGATTGTGAAAAATGCTTCATGAAGTCTTGGGTCCAGATTGCTATTCTAATAGTCTTTGGTTATACTTTTAGGCATGTACTGGGTTTGGGAGACTGTTCCTTGCATTTCACTCTTTGTCCTTTGTCTTTGGAAAAGCAGTCAGAATCCCTTCTGTATCTTGAGAAAAATTTACCTTTTTTGCATTTTGACCTATACAGAAGAATTTTTGTTATCTATCCTTGAACATGGTGTTAACAACTTTAAAAAATCATCTTCAGTGGGAGTAGATATCTCTGGCTCTTGGGAGGAAAAAATACTTGAGACCTCTTGGCAAATGGAAACAAGTATGAGCACGAGATAAAAGAGAAGTGCTTCCTTGGACACAGAGCAGGCTATTTCTGAGAACAGACATTTCAAAGCAGTAGCCCTAGCTGAGCAGGGCCAGGCAGGGTGGAAGACAACCATGATACCACTAACATGGGTTCTTCCTGATAAATGAAGCTTTTTCTGCAACATCTAATTCTTTTTGATTTGTATTCTTGAGCTTGACTCACGGCCTTTTCTCTCCCTCGTTTTTACAAAGTGTTGGCAGTGGTGCAGCAGTAAGTGAAAGTCACTGAAATCCCTTTGGGGGTCTAGGCTGGAAGTGGCAGGAAACTGGAGTCTTGAGCAAAACATTTCCCTTTTTTTGGCATCAGTTTATTTTTTTAAAATCTATAATGACTGACTTAGAAAAACATAATAAATACATGCCCCTTCCAGCTCTAGCATTCTGTTTTATTTTAGTTTTCAATTCTTCAGGTATCTCCTTCTAAACATCTCAAGCACAATGTGTTTGTAATGTTATTTAAAATCATACACACAGACCCATCTATGTACACAAAGTTTAAATCTCTCTATTAGGGAACTGTTCAACCATTTCCAATGGGAAGACAGCCTTCATGTTTGATGGAATGAGTTCAGAAATTGGTGCCCAGTTGTCAAAACAGGGTCATGCATATTGCAACTGCAGTCCAAGAGCATAAAGACCACCTTCCAATAATCTAAAATGGTAGACTGCTGGGCATTTGGCATTGTCTGCTTTATGAATTACTGAGTTCATATAATGTTCTCAAAAGAGCTACCCTTTTTATTTACTCTCCAGTATTGGATGCTAAACATCAAAAGAACCAAAGCACCAAAATATCAAGTCCAAATAGAAAATACTTCAAGAGAATTTCTTATACCAATTTAATTATTCTCCGAATTTAGAGAACAAGGGTGTGGGCTTGACATCAAACCAGTATGTTAAATGGGATTCATCTAGTTCTAATTACTACTCACTAATAGGATGCCCAAGGATGCCATGACACTTTGGACACATGTAAGTTACTGGATGAACAGACTGTACTATACAGAGAAATCTCCTTAATTACAAATTATTAAAAGAAAAAAAAACAGAACAATCTTCACCACAACTTTGTAATTTTTTATTACCATGTCCTGGGGCGTACAAGAATTGAGAGGCTGGCCAGAAGCTAAAATTCTATTTGTTCATAATATATCTGTGATCTATATCTTCTACAGAACCTAAAATGTAAGAAGCTTTGTCCCATAGTAGGTACTTGGCACAGTTTTGTTGTTGTTGTTTGTTTGTTGGAGTCTCTTTCTTAAATCTTTTTAATAGAAAACAGCTGAGAATAGCTTTACTAGTTCTAGGCATATGAGTGATAGTTTCTTATGAGGTACAACCTGTTCTAAATAAATTTTCTTTTGTAAAATGTCTTGCTTCTTTTCTGCCTGCTAATTGTAATATTAATCTTTCTCTTTGCCATTGCTCAGCCTGTTTTCTTTGATTTGTTTTGGTCTTATGATTTGATTGTTTAAATCACAAGCTAAGGGATAAAAAGCAACTAAAAATTTGTAAATTTAAATTTGTGAAGGATACTCTGCGCAAAGGGCTAGGCCAGTAAGCCTCCAACATGCAAATACACAAGAGCCAGACATGGTACAATAAATGACAAGGGTGGTAGCTTAATAGAAGTAGAAGGAAAAGAAGAAACTTCACAATGTCTGACCTGTCGTGCAGATATGTTACAGTGAGGCGACAAGCTCACCCGGGGATCAGGCTTGCCCTATGAAGCCTTCTAAGGAACAGAAACTGAAAAATAGCAGTGCTGAAGCTCTGAGGTTGTGCTAAACTCCCACATTGGTAAATATTAACCAAAATGTCTAAGCCAACCAACTGTGTTCCACTCATCAAAAAGGAAGTGCATTTTCTCATCTTAGGATACCTTTTCTCTTCCAAGGCCCTCTGAAGATCAAATGTTCTGCAATCTATCTGACTAACATTTATGAAGGTAGGAATAAGAAGTAGCTTTAATCTGAAGAATCTCAAAGGATATGGAATTAAAATAACAGTGCACAATGCCTATGAAGATAATTGTTATGCCAATGTGCTTTGAAGGCACTGGAAGGAAGGGAGGCTTTTCAAAAATTTTGCCAAACCATAATATTTCCTGGGCATGGCATGCTGAGGATGATTCCTAAGGAAGAGTGTATGTGAATCAAGGAGACATGTGGTCAGGACCTGTAACATAGGACCAAAAGGCTGCCTGTAGGAAAATGGTTGTAGGTCAAAAAGCATTCTACCAACTTTCAAATGAACCTTGTTTTGATACTAAGCACTCCATCATGATTGTCTAAAAGAGCATTACACCTGTAGAAGTGCTAATCACATTTTCTTGGCTTGGTAACCAATTTTAAAATCTAACACTTGGGTTGCAAACAAAGACATCTTTTATCTCTCAAAAATGCAAAGTATAAGCTTTTGTATCAAATCACATACACACACACACACACACACACACAATACCAGATTCCCTAGGGCAGTGATTCTACAAATGTGGTTTCTGAGTTAGGTGCAAAAACCAGAAACATGTTAAAAATGCAAATTCTAATAGAGTCTGGATCAGAAACCAGGGAATGGGATCCAGTAATACTATTATAAAATACCTTTCAGGAGAAGTTTGAGAACCACTGTTTAACAAATAGTTAGAAATCACCATATTTAAAAGTTTAATTTTTTTTTTGTACTAGGGATTGTACTTTATCCCTGAGCTACATCCCACTATCACCACCTACTTTTTCTTCTTCTTTTCTTTCTTTCTTTCTTTCTTTTTTTTTAAGACATGGTCTTGCTAAATTGCTGACACTATCCTTGAACATACAA